AAAAAAGGAAAAAAGATAACACTACTATTTACAAGAGTATTAGTGTTAGTGCTTCAGTGAGAAAAAAATCACTGGACAAATACAGTACAAACAAAACAAATTACCTGACTCTTCTATCTGTGCTCATCCTCTCCATCCACCCCCCCCCCTTCCTTCTAGCCACCCTTGGCGTCTCCACGCCGGGACGAGGGGCCGGACCCAAACAGAGAAATCCTGTCCCGGATGGATCTAGAACTAAAAGATCTGGAGAAAAATTATGAAGAAATGAAATCTAAGTCATCACGGCAAGGTCAGGACGAGCAGCCCTGGTTCAAGAGTTTCATGCAGTTCGCGGACGCTCTTTACAAACAGGACGAACAATACGCAGGTATGTTCAAGTTCTGCTGGCATAACAGGGAACCTGAAATAATAATAATAATAATAATAATAATAATAATAATAATAATAATAATAATAATAATAATAATAATAATAATAATAATATGTGATATCACATGATGCCACTGGAGATCAAACAGCACAAGACATCATATTATCATGAATGAACACAAAACACCCAAATCGCAAACATTTTAACACTACCTAACACAGATAAATAGCAAACAACAATAACAATGACGCAGTTAAGAAATCTTTGGGTTTGGGCATTTTGTTGTTGTTGTTTGTTTGTTTGTTGATTTTGCTGTTGATGTTGTTGTTGTTGTTGGGTTGTTGTTTTTGTTGTTGCTGCTATTGCTCTTGTTGTTGTTGTTATTGGTGGTGATGGTGGTGTATGACGATGGTTGTGCCGGTGGTGGTGCTGCTGGTGCTTCTTCTTCTGCTGCTGGCACTGCTGCTGGCACTGCTGCTGGCACTGCTGCTGCTACTGCTGTTCTTATTAATTATAGGCATTATTGTTGTTTGCTATTTATTTGTTATTAGGTACTGTTAAAATGTTTGCGATTTGGGTGTTTTGTGTTCTTTCATGATAATATGATGTCTTGTGCTGTTTGATCTTCAGTGGGATCGTGTGATATCACATATCATTTCATGTTCCCTGTTGTGCTATATTATGATATCTCATGAATCTCCTGTTCCATTTTATGTTTTCAAATAATGGTCCCCCATGGTACTTGATCTCCTGTGTCATATCATGCTATCTCATATAGAACCATGATATCTCGTGTAATTCCCGCAATTCGTGTGATCATAATATTATATAATATACAATTATATTTCGTGTCGTTTCATCGTCCCTGTCATGTTATCATATAGGCCTATCTCATGTTATTCCTTCTTCCCTGTCAACGCGTTCATATAATAATATATGACCTTATGTAGTCGCGAGCGCCATAAAATTCTCACCAAATGACTAACCGAACTGAACTTTCCTGTCACATTATGATATCTCATGTTGTTTCATGTTCCCTGCAGGCTCACTGCCCTATGCTGACGTAGCCGAATGGACAAAGCTTTACAATGACGCTTACCGGCTGGAGATCCCTGATCACGTGATCAGCCAAGCTCTCAGCCAATCAACAAAGGGCGGGAGTGTCAACATCCACATGTACCTCACTCTTCTTGGGAGACGCTAACAGTGGCCTTCTTTAGATTTCTCCTAAATCACCTGGCAACATTGTTACACTAAAATGTCTATAAAAATTAATAAGTATGTTTGAGCGAATATTTTACAGTAGGCCTACATAAATAATATAACAGGTGAATCGCACCATTTCTGGGATCTTGGTCAAAACGAAAGTTATAGACTCTAAAAGACTAGATGTATGGATAAAAGTTGGAACACTTTTCTCTTTTGATCTTTTATGATCACATAGTAATACAATCAAGTTACTGTAGAATGAAATCAAAGTGCTTAAACTTTTATAAAGTGGGTTGATAAACTGAATTTTTTAAAATAGAAAGATAGAATGATGTAAAGCATACCCCACATCTGTTATGAAAAGCTGTTTCCCTGACCAGGACAGTTTGCATCCCACACGATCGAAAATATAATCAGTTGAGGCCTAATCTTCGACAAGCTCTTGATTGTTCTAAGCCAAACATGCATATTTTTTAGAAGATAGAAACCTGTTTCGTCTATATTAAAAATTACGCCTTTATTTTTTTTATTTTTCAACATTTAGAATTTGAATTTCGACAGAACATTTTTCAAGCAGTTTCAAATGATACCACATAGATTTTATTTAAATTCAAAACATTGGGCGTAGTGCATCTGAACAGGTGGTCAACGATTTCTGTGAACAGACCTTTGTGACCATGTGGCAAGTGATTTATTATCATCCCAATGCACACAAAAATGTAAGGCTAAAATGCCTAGCAACAGGCCGTCTTTCATTTGGGTTAAAATATTGAATTGTCACGTCTTTTGACATATTTCCAGGTCGTCTGTCTCTAACAGGTGTTTATTTACAGTACATATGTTTATGGTTAGCACTGCTGATTCAGAGAGCTTGATCGCTAACTGCAGTACCACTGACATCACGCCATGGTTGGTTGCTGCTTTGTTTCAGTTGCAGTAATATTATATGTACGTATTTCGCACGATAGGACCTACTTTGGTCTTTGCGAAAATGTACGGTATTAATAACGCTGCCTTTCTTCTTTTAGCTCTTGTTTCGTATTTTCGAAGAGTGAAAAAAGAAGAATGACTTTTTTTCAGAATTAACCTTCAAGACACTGATGCCCCATCTTTTTTTTTCTTTTTTTTTTTCGTTAATATTCGGTGTTTGCAGCATCCTTCCATCATCTGTGTTGGTAATGTGGTACGGAAAGACATGAAAGGACAGTTGTACGACCACAGAACTGCCTGTCATACTTACAGTGGAACTTATAGTGATCTTCAAAGAAAGAAGGATTGCGAAACGACAAATGGCGTTTCTTATGCTTTATTTTCACCGAATCCTCAAGGAACGTGTGTTTGTCTTTTTATTTCTCCGCCCGTACAAGTGCGGAGATTTCTGTTAGTTCAGATTTTTTTTTTGAGACCATTGCCCAGAAGTTCCTCTCAAATCCCCGTTAGTTCCAGATTATGGCCGTGATAAATTAGTCGTCATGTGGAGCTTTTAGTTTAGGTTTTACCTATGTTGGCAGATATTTTTTTTAATATAAATGTCATTTAAAGTAAAAAGGCTAAAATGTTGGTTAATTTTTAAAGAGGTTTGGGGGGGGGGGGGTAGAGAAGGACAGAAGGGAAAATGTGAATATTCGTGTTCTCACATTGTGCGATGCTTTGAGATTTCTAATTCAGAAAACTATAATAATGTTCCATCAACATTCATTTTACTCAATACAAATCTGCATAATTTAAAGCACGAATGAAAAATCAGGGATCATTCACTTTTGTGAGTGACATTTCGTAAATGCTTGCTTTTAATATGTTTCTACATCTCTTACATTCATTTTGATAGGTCGTTTTTCCCCTTCTTTGTGACTTGTCATTAGTTACATTCAAATAAGGAAGGTCTTTCCAATTGCGCTTATATATCATTTAAAGAAGAGATAAGAGCATCCCTGGTTGCACTGTTTATTGTCTTAAAGAGAAAATTCAAAATAAGTCTTGGAAATAATACAGTTTAAGAGTTTGGATTATCTCTCTGTCCACCAAAATAAAAAAAATAAAAACCTGCTCTGTCTATTGATCTACCTAACTTATCTTTGCAACTTTATAAACCCCATGCATCTTATTTGTTGATTTGTAGTCTCCATTTTATGTTCATGCATACCCGAACTGAACCAACAGCTGTGATATCAATGTGAAATAGTTTATGTAAATATTATCCTCATAATAACAATAATATTATAACTGTCTCAATAATAATATGGGATCTCATTTTATAAATCTAAATTTGAAATTGTATAACACTTGAATACTGTACCGTAATACATGTACCTCTATTATTATATTATTATTTTGAGATGTCTTTTTTATCATGATGTCACGATATGTTTTCATCAGTTGTTTCCTTTGTGTTTTAGGCACATCTGTTCAGATCTAGATTGTACATTTATGTACATTACGAGACAAGTCATGTTTTTAATCTTTCTGTTATATTGGGCTTTAACTTTTATCACCTAGTTTGGTACTTTGTTGTTATTGTCAGCTCTTGTTGAGGAAAGTTTTCTTCTTCCAAAGAATCTTCTTTTGTGGCGAAATTGAGTTTTTCAATATTGACAAGCTGCTTAACTCTTTGAGGACGTGCACCCTGGCCATTCAACAACGCTTAATAAAGACATACTGTTTTGGGCACTCTAAATTTAAAAAAAAAAAAAAAAAGAAACATAACTTGGTTATTCGTACAGATTTTTCTTTATCAAAAACTTCAAAAATCAGGCAATAACGTGCCGCCTACACGAAATATGCAGTTGGGGG